CATCCACTTTCTGAGCCCACAAAAAAATAGCTCTCTTTCCTTTCCTTTAAAAAAATTGTGGGGTGCAGGGATATTTCAAAGGAGATACATCACTAGTCTGATATCTATGTTCTGGTTGCTCATTAGGTGCACACTTGCTATAAAATCTTTGATGCTAGAACAGTAATTTGGAGACCTGTCATCTTCTGCACTCCCAGTCCCCCACCATTGCTTACTAGCAATCAACTGAGCTCAGATTTAAGTCCCCTGAGGCACCTGACACGGTGCCTTGCCCACAGTAGGTTTTTATTATTTGTGGACCTGAATTCGGTGAAGTGATGTGTATGGCTCCCAGTATCTTCCATCACAGGAAAAACGAGTTAGCAATTGGGAGCTGAGTTTATCCTGCTTCAGGAACCAGAGGGAAAGCAACAATGGCCCTCTCACAGGACCAGCAGAAGGAGAGATGGATCCATATGTTCCACATTGAGTAGCTGTCTATCTCTGCCACTTAGCTTGAGGGATAGAGGAAATCAAGCCATTATGAAGGGGGAAACATGAGTATTATGCAAACACAGGCATGTTTCTTGTGGAGCTAATCTCTGTGTGATATTTTTGTTCCCAGCCCGCTGGCTCTGCTGGAGTCCATTTGCCAACCAAGTCCAGGGCAGGCACTTCAAACATATCACAATCTTGTTTCTACCTAAGGGCTGGGAAGTAAGTTACATAAAATTATGCTGTGTTTTCAAAATCCTGTATTTGTGATTTGAAGTTGGTCCACTCAGTCAGTTAAGGGAGAGCTCTATAATTCAATCTTCCTAATTATCCCCATGGATATTAAATGTTTAGGACTTTGTAGGATCTTCTTCTCTAGGTGATGATCCATCACTCCGCCTTTTTAAAAATAAACTGAGAGATGGCCAGAATCTTAGGATGAAAAAATAACTCCGATGAAAGTGTTCTGGACCACTCTCCCAAAGCAGCCACGGAATTACAGGAAAAACATTTATGGGGAGAAACCACAGGGCATGGGAGGCAGGGTCTAATTCGGTCACCAATAAGTCCATTGTTTCTGTCTTGGGAGTTTTATTTTTCCATGGAAGTCCTTTAAAAGGGCTAAAGCATTTAGAGGACCACTTCAGTTCTATATGGGGTCCCAGAGAGTGACTTGGGCAGTAGCTGGGAGGAGAGCTGAGGCTGGCACTTTGAGGGGCAGGCAGGTGAACTCTGGTGAGGCAAGGAGGTTACTCCCAGACTGGGTTGGATTTCATGTGAGAGTCAGGAGGTCCAAGAACGAGAACCATCAACACTAAGTGAGAAACAAGTTATTTTATTTCTTTGTCTCTGGGATATCCATCTGTAAAATGGGTACAATAGTTCCTGGACCCAGCCTAGTCCCAGATAGATCGCAGATGTTCCCAGATTCCTAGTTCCCAAAGTTGTTCCCAGATTCCTAGTTCCCAAAGTTGTTCTATTGATCAAATCAGAAATGAAGGGAAAAAGGAAAAACTAAAACGGTCATCAAAGCATTTTGAGATGCTGATAAATGTTATGGAAATAAAACACACTCTTAGACTTTCATTTCATTTTGAAAGAGATAATATCATTGTCTGCTTATTAAGCACCCTCCCCCAATTAATGAGAGATGTTCAAATGCTCTGAGCCCTTAGGGCAGAGCAAGCGTGACCATGGGAACTGACAGCCAGCCTTCTGTGGACTGCGAGTGGAGGTAAGAAGAGGCTCTTGGGTTGGAAGTCTTTGCCTAAACATGATTACACAATATTTGGGGAATCAGTTCCAAGATCTCTTGAGTTGCTCATGAGATATTTTGTTTATTAAATAATTTTCTGAAATGTACCAGGTTTTAGTGACTCATGGAGTCAGGCAAACATATGTATGACATTTAGAATTATGGACTTAGAGAGGGGGTGTTCATCTAATTCACCCCGTGTTTTACAGGAAAGGAAACTGGATGCCAGAAAGTCTAAACGACTTGCCTGGAACTGTGTGCTCTGTCTGTGGGAAAACTGGGGCTGAAACCCAAAGCTCCAAGCTTCCCAGCTCAGTGTTCTCTCTTTCGAACACATTTTCCATGAATATTCTGACTATATATTTTATTTTCATGGTCAAGGCTGAATCCTTGGAAGAAAGCAAGAAGGATTCCCCCCACCCCCATAATTTCAAAAGGAGAAACTCTTTTGTAATTGTTACACATTGTGTTTTTAAGAATGTACAATTCTCTGTAAAATTTATAAGCCATAAAGTACTTTTAAACCCATTTAATCTTAATCATGATTCAAGTGAAGATTGTTATTAACACCGAATATGGACGTGGCTTGGTCCAGGTTTCCAAAAATCAAAACAGAAACTCAAGAAAGACTGGGGCTTTCGGTTCCATTCTTGGAGGTTTTTTTTTTCTTATGCTACATGAAAGTTGCTACCTAAGTGCTTTTAAATATGAGTGAGCATCAGTAATGGAGATGAGACTTTTCCAGAACTGCCCCCAACTTCGTCTGACTCCAAGCTGAAGCTGGACTCTGCCACTCAGGGTGACAGGCCAGTGGATGGAGTTTTCCAGTTCATCAACCAACAGATCCTCACTTCCTTAAGAAAGGCCTGACTGAATTCACAATAGTACTGGTAATAATAATAATAATAATAATAATAATAATAATAATAATAATAAAAACAGGTGACGTTTATCCAATACTTATTGTTTCCTGATGCTTTACAAGTATTAACTGATTTGATTTTCCCAGCAGGCCTACAAACGAGGCACCATCCTATTACAATTTTTCAGATGAAGAAGCCGAGCCACAGAGAGGTGAAGTAACCTGCTCTAGGCAACACAGTTAGTAGATGGCTGGTAAGTAAAATTTGGATTTTTTGCTTTTTTTTTATTAAACACATGTGATGTTTTCATAAAATAACCCCAGCTCCTCAATTCTTTGTCTTTGGGCACAGATCCTCCCCTCACTGAAGCTCTGAAATGATTGGGTTGAATTCGCGGGTTTTGAGAATTCCTTCTAGTCCCACCTGCTACCTTACGCTCTGTGAACCTAGGCTGCCTGACCACATCCTATTTTTATTCTCCCTTGTTCTGCTCCACCTAACCCTATTTCCAGGGATAAACAAAAGTCACTTTATCATTATCATTTTTATTTATGTATAAGCATGAAGTGTCCAAACCTTCCAAAACATTTTAACTTAGGAAAAACAGGGAAGCAACAGGCACTCCTGCTCTCCTCCCTCCCATTTTCCTTCTTAAAATAGTCATTTTAGCAAGCCCTTTCCTCAAAGGTAATACAAAGTTCTCCACAAAGGAATATAAAGTCCAAAATCCCACAGTTCTTTCCTTTGCGCCAACAAGTTCACAGAGATAAAACCACGTTGAAATGAACACGAGGGCAACCTGAAATGGGGAAACAGAAGATGAAGGCACCAAGTCAACATCGAGGCTTGTGCGCAGCTCCTGCAGAACAGATAAGGATCGCCACTTGCGTGATGCTGTTGGAGTGTGTTCCGGGCGCCCTGTATGTTTTGAATTTAAAGTCTTTTCAATATCACCTGTTGCAAAGCCACCCTCCTTGCTGCCCATGAAGGACGAGGTCCCAGAATTTCTCTCCATCTCTCCTTTGAGGGGCCCAGCTGTGAATGCAGTGGTATACTTTGACGTTAACGCAGAACTGAATCATCACAAATTATAACTTTCTGCACTTACAATCAATGAGTTTTTAAAAACAATTAAAGATGTTGAAATCTGCACCTTTTTATACGTGCAAGAGTTTTATGAGGTGTCTTTACCAAGCCGTGAAATACATCCAAGTATTGAGGCAAAAGAAAAGTTCAAACCATGTCGAGCGGATTGATGCTGAAAACAATCGAAATAATTGTTCACACGTATGTTTGACATTTCACTCAGAAAGGGGTTAAAATCCCGCTTGCATTGCATTTTCGTCCTTATGAATTAAGCACTAAAATATGCCCACTTCATCGTTTTCCTCACACGCCTAGCTCCTCCTTCATTCTGCCTTGTCTCCACTTGCCTGCAGACAGAGCACCCCATATTTTGCTTCTGACTCTGAATAACTGTGATCGCTCATGATGAGAGAGCTGGTTAATGAGATGGCTGTGAGATGTTGGGAAAGTTCTGTTTTGCTTATAAAGCCATGACTGTCTCTCTTAAAATGTAACTTTTATCTTCTGACAGAGAGCTTTGGAGCTCACATCTTTTTTTTTTTTTTTTTTTTGCTCAGTATTTTCATTAGTGGTTGATGGTTTCTATTCAAGGATTTAATTCTTCAGGCGTGGAGAGCTGGATCGAGGATGAGGATACAGGTGGACGATTCTCCCTGCTGCTTTATCTGTGTCCACAGTGCCTTTACCGAGCAGCATGGTGAACTGGCTCACGGAGGAGAGGAAGGTTTATCCTTACATCGTCTAATGAACCCGTCCCTGTGGCAAATGCTCAAGGCGGATACACACCTCACCACCAAGGCTAACGTCACTTTCTTCCTTCATTTCAGAGGGGATGCTGGTGACTCAGAACTGGCTCGTCAAATAGGAAGGCATATGCATGCTGAGTTTGGCACAGATCACTTCCTCTAGCAAGAAGAGCTGGCTAAATGAGGGTCATTGTGACCTTCACCTGGCTTCTAGTTCAGTGAATAACCCAGAAGCCATAATAATCACTTGATGTATAGTCACCACTTGAATTTTCTGCTTCATTGTATTTACAGTCAGAGGAGAACACATCCCGCAATGCCTGACGTGGATCTTTCTAGCAAGGATGTAGCGCGAATGTAAGCAAAGTGTCCTTTTAAGTCAATATTTGCTGGGAAAAGCACAGGGTGTTCTTGGTAGCTCTATGATCCATAAGGCCGCACACTCTCATAAAAACATTCAACTCGCTACATATTTATAGACAAGTACAATGAAACAACAGGAAAAAAAAGCAGGCCTACATTTTAATAAAATCAAATTCATCCCTGCTCTGATAGGCAAAACGAATTTGTACTTACATAGATCATGCAGGGAGTCTTCGGCCCGGTGTCTCCTGGGGAAAAAGCAGCTTTAAATATGTCGTCGGAAAAGAAAATTGTGTCTTTGTTGGATTTCCTTCAGATGAAACTGAATGGATGAATAATGTGTAAGTCTTACGCCAGTTAAAAAAAAAAATCCTGTGATTTGTACAGCTGTGACTGAGAGGAGTCAATTGACACTTGAAGGCAAAGAAGATGGAAAAGGAAAGAATAAATGAGTGGAAAATTCCACAACGCAGACTCCCAGGGCTCTCTCAAGGACAAGATTGTTACTTGAGAAGGCTCTGTGGAATTTTTGGCATTCTTGCATTATCTCACTTTGAAGATGGAATAAACTAGACTTTTCAGCCAGTCTCACGGTTCTCGAAAGTGGGCTCAGTTAGATTTGCTGGGACTCTTGGGTAACGCCAATTTCTCAACATTTAACTGGATAATTAAGGTTTCAAAAGGTTTGGGCAATCGTGATCTCTCTTAGTGGAAAAAGCAGTTTCATCTTTGGGAAGTCTATGGTAAATTCCCTTCCCATGGGACGCCTACTGTTAACCCAGAAAGAGACCCACTTTGAGGAGAATTTTGGCTACTTGTGCAGTCCACTGCTAATCGTAAAAAGTATTGTTCAAACTCATTTACTATGGAAGTCAGGAGAACTGTCAACAAGTGGGCTTGGAAAAAGTCAGGCAAGGGCTGGGTGCTGGTGATAAAGATATGGTCCTCTGCTCTGCCACTGTGGCAGACCATCTAACAAAACTTAACCTGATCTTACTTGTGCTTTGCTGTACACCTGAAACAGACACAACATTGTCAATCAACTACACTTCAATAATAATTAATTGAGACTTATTACTCCTTCAGGATTTAGAAATATTTCCTATTGGCTTCTCACTGAGATTTTTCAATGCTTGCTTTAAATGATAAATTTGAGTTTGCTTTCATGTTTTCCAGGATAGAAGGGATTCTGAAAAAAAAAAGGTCGGTATTCAGGACATACTTGGTCATTGCCAGAAGAACCTGGTGAGTTATATCAGGCTTTTCATATAGACTAGATTACATGCTAAGGATGCCCTCTAAAGGGTCACTCCACTGGCATGGGGGGTCCTGCAGGCTTTTCAGGACAAGTTCATCTTTTAGGGTTGCACTGGACATCACTGCATAGGCCCTGAGTAGCGCATTATAGTGAGGCTTCAGGGTGTAAGGTATTTTCCTATAAGAATGGTTGGGAAAGGTTTTCTGATCAAGTTGCCTCTTTTTGAAATTTAGACTTCGAACAAGATGCAATGCCATCATTTCCCTTTTATCTCATAAGGCAGTCTGTAACTTGTGGAATGAAATGTCCTTAATGACAGAGAATGTAGCCTTTGAGAAATTTGAACCAATAAGGAAAATACACTACTCACGGTTTTCAGTAACACTGCTGCTGCATTAGTTGGGGAGGTTCTCTTGGTGAGCAGTCACGGAGAATGATGTAAAAAGTAGAGAATTTTTTATTTATTTTATTTTATTTTATTTTATTTTATTTTATTATTTTTTTATTGTAGTATAGTCAGTTTACAATATTGTGTCATTCTCTGGTGTACAGTATAATGTTTCAGTCATACATACACATACATATATTCCTTTTCATATTCTTTTTCATTATAGGTTACTGTAAAAAATTCAAAATAGTTCCCTGTGCTGCACAGTGTAAACTTGTTGTTTACCTGGTTTTGTGAGGATTCCCCTTGTATTTCCAAAGAGCTAGGCTGCCAAAGTTCAGTAGGTATTTTGTGCAAACTGTTCCATCTGTAGATGCAGTTTTTGTTGTATTCGCGGGAGAGGATGATCACTGCATCCTTCTACTCTGCCATCTTGGCAAGCCCCCCAGATAGAGAATTTATTAAAATGATTCCGAAGACTCTCATAGGCTCTAAGGAAGAGTTGAATGGGTGGATAGGCCTTGGGAAAATGATGCATTGTGGAAATTTAGAGACAATGTCAATGACTCAGTTCTAGGGACACCAGATTAGCACCAGATTCCCAATTCTTGGGAGAAAGAGCCTTACTGGGCCAGTGTGGGTCAGTGTCCACCTCGAATCCAAGAGCTGGGGTGAGAGGGGCAAGATCACACAGCATAGACCTGGCTTCTAGGGGCCTGTCACCACCGTGGGCAGGGCCCCAGAGAGACAATGCATGTGACTTACTGTCGCTGGGCAGCCACAAGGAGAGGTGCTGAACTCAAAATCATAGCTTTTGAGTTCTACATGGAATGTTTTGAGTGTATATATATATAAATATACACACACACAAAAACCCCAGGTGTTTCCTTACACACCTCAGAGCTATAGTTAGCATAGTCATAGGGAGAAATTACTACAGTACTGGGTAATGAGTTGTGAGGAACATCACCTTCACTAGCATGGCCCAGCTCTCTTGTCGGATGCGTACCACAAGATCATTGGAGTAGAAGTGTGATAAATGGGAAATAGCACATAGCACACACACTAAAACACCCCGGGACATCAAAATCTAGATCTGTGTATGTCCTTTGCTTCACCTGTGGGTACTCAAGAGCCCCTGTGAATTCATTCACTGATCTGACTCAGCTTTCTGGATGTCTTGTTTGTGTCAGTCTCTGTATTCGCCATCAGGAACTCAGCAATATCCTTGGTGGCTGCCGAAGAGTTTACAGTCTAGAAGGCAATTCAGTTCAGTGGGTTTGAGCCCCAGTTGAGGATAAGTTAAGCACCCTATGGGAGTACATTTCAGAGACATCAACACAGATGTAGGGGTCTGGATGTCGGGGAAGACTTCCTGGAGGAGTAAGCAGGAAGAAAGAGGGAAACTGAAGGAACATGGAGATGGGAGATAAAAGAGAAGGCATGAAAGAACAGTTCAGCCAGAAATATTCAATATCCAAGAGGCAATATCAGGCATTTTTCATATGGAGAACTGCAAAGAGAAGAATAATGTGGGGAGATCTTGTAACTCGAGAGAGATAAGCAAAGGTCAGGTGATGAACGGTGTGATGAGCTACACTAAGGACATCATTTGGAGGACAATGAGGTCTTATCAAAGTGTTTTAAAGGTGGGATACATCATAATGCTTTTTTTCATGATAGCACTCTTGAATTACAAAAATTGCTGTGGAGGTGGGACTAGAGCAGGTAAGACTGGAGGAGAGGAATGCTAGTTAGAATGACAGGAACGCAAGAGAGAGAGCAGTGGCCTGAACCGAAGTGGTGCTAGAGGCGATGGAAAGAAGCTGATGAACATGAGAGATTATTGATCTATTGATCCTATTGGATGTGTTGTTTGATGAGAAATGGAGAGTGGTGAGCAAAGAGTCAGGGTGAGGACGGAGCCAGGGTCCCAGCTTAGACAATCCAGTGGACAACAAGGAAGTCACTGAGATGGGGAAGAGCAGGGTGGGGTCAGAATAGCGAGTTCTGCTGCTGGCACGGTGTGCTTGGAATGCTCACGTTATAGCAAGTAGGGGTGTCCAGTGGTCGGTACTGGTCTGGTGACCAGGAAAAGGATGTGGGATGGAGAAATACATTAGGGAGTCAAGGAGTGTAGATAGACGTATACTGAGAGAAGGGTTCAAGAGAGCTGTTACTTCTCTCAGTCTTGATGAGGCCCCTATGTGGCAATGCTATAAAGATATAGGGTCTTCATTGTCTCTTTAGGGGAAGGGGGCTGGAAGATTTGGTTACCGGCACCTTTGAGAACAATCACGGGTGAGACTGAAGCAAACCTAAACCGGCCAGGGAACCCTCCCTTTGGCAAGGCCGATTTCTGGTGATGGGAAGGCAAAGAAGAGATTTCTCTTGCCTTACAGAGTACTGTGTGTGCTCAAATGAGTTACTAAGAGTGACAAAACATCTCTAGTGCACGCTCTCCATTCGTATGCATGGAACCTCATTGGTGATCTGGACACGCTGCTTCTCCCGTGAGGGCTGGAGCAGGCAAGGTGGAATGCTGATCAGGTGGCTCGTGTGGGTTGTGGTCCTGTCTACCTGGGAGGCTCGCTGATGAGATTACGTTTATCTCCATTTCTGTAGACTCAGAGCCTTGACCTGGGTCTTGCAAGTGGAAGGCACTCAGTAAATAATCATTGATTGTATCGAGCTTCTTCGACAGAAGGACACCGCCATATCCTAGGGACTCTTCTTGTGTTGTCCAGCCACTTCTTATTTCTCAGTGTGGGGTGAGGATGTCCGGGAGGGTGGACTAGAGACAGGCTCAGATTTTTTTGAAGCTCATGTTTTCCTAGTATGGAGTACTCGGAAGTTCTCTGACATTTAGGATCCTCCAATTGTGGAAAAGGCCCCCTAAAATTCTATAAACAAATCTTCACCCTCAATTTTTGTTTGGTGTCTTCTGTAGAGTACTCTCATTTTAAAACATATGAGTTAAAACTTATAGCCAGGAGAGGACAACCATTAATGGCTATGTCATTAGGATTCTTCTGGTTGCAAGTAACAGAATAACCAAAATTAGCTTAAGCAAAGCGAAAATGTGACTTCAGGCATGGCTTTAAATAGGGCTCAATGATGTGGCCATGGAGAGTTACTCTTGTCACTTTTGGTTCCACTTTCTCTGGGTTGATTTCATTCCCAGGCAGAATCTTCTTTCATGGTTGCAATATAAGAACTATAAAATCCTTCCAAGCTGAAATCCTGCAGAAAAAAGTGAGAGTCATTGTTGTAGCATCCTCTAGTGAAGTGTCATTGGCTCTGATGGGGTCATTTGACTACCATAAACCTGTCATTAAGATTCAGAGGATGGGAAGTACTGACTAGCTTAGACCTGGTCTTAGGCTCTACTCTGAGGCCAACGCATATGGGCTGGTTTGGAAAGACAAGTTGTTTCCCGGGGGAAATCTGGGTTCAGCTACCAGGAGAAGAGTGAATGAATGCCAAGTGGCAAGAACAATCGATGGCATGTGATCCACTGCTTCCCCTTCTGCATCCATGGCAGACATGAATAATCAATCGTGGTTCTTTTTCTCACTGTAACTGCACATGGCTTTGACAACCTTGTCAAGGCAGTGCTGTAGTCAGCCACTAACAATCCAGCAGAACTGGAGAGCGAGATGAACACTGCTCTGGATGCAGAAAATACCTGAAAGTTCCTAGAGAAAGCTGTTCTTTTCCTCCCCAGTAAATCAAGGCAGAAGTGGGCTAAAATAATTCTATAGTAAGGGTAAAATTAATCACTGATGAGCATTTTTAGTTGCCTCCTTTTTTTGTTTATTTCTCTA